GATATTTATACCTTATATTCATATTCTTAGAATATAATCCTTTTCAAAGAAAAAAAATTACTCTAGTCTGTTCTAATCATGCTCTAGACAACATTACCCCAACAATGTGATCATCATTGTCGAAAATTTTGAATAAAAACAGTTATAGTGGAGATTCTTATTTTTCTAAAAAGTGCTTTCTAAATTTAATGATCCATAATAACTGTTCAATTTGATAGATAAACTCCAAAGTAAACCAAAAAGTACTTATACTTGTTATATTTTCAATTTTTTGGCTAAATTTAGAATGTATTTTCAATTAAACACCAATAAATATATCACTATGATGGTGGAGCTAAAATAAAATAGAATGGATTATATATTCTCTCAAAATATAGAGGTGCTAAATCTTAATAAGTATCCTCAATTTTGTCAGTGGAAATATTTTAATGACTTTTTTCATAAAGTTCATAAAGCATAATTAGTTAAAAATAAGTAATTTTTGTATGTTTTATTAACTTTAACAACATAAATTAATGCAAATTTCTAGGATTTCCTATGAAATGACTATAATTTTAATTATTTTAGATGTACATAAATCCAAACTCTAATTATGACTAACGGCAAACATTATAATGAATTAAATATTTTTAAATAACCATAAAAACAATATTATTTACTTATTTTATCAAATTTATAATTTATAACACTACTCTTATATAATTATTTCTTAATTTTATTTCTAATTTTACACTTTTAAGGTGATAATAGACATTTTTTTGACTTATAAGTAGTATTTATTTCTTAACTTTTGAGTGATTAAATATTTAATTTGGTCTATCTCTTATATCTATAAACAAGGCAGTGAATTTAATACAATAAAAAAGTGTTAAATATGTTCTTAAAATGTGCACTTTAAATTTCCAAAAAAAGTCACTAAAAATTTAAATAAATAAATAATTTATTATTATTCTTATTGAAATTGAAATTTTTATATTATCAATCTAATGGCCGATATTATTTAATTATGGCTGAATACCGCTATGCTCAGAGATTACTGTTGTCCTTGTATCATATCGAAAGAAACGATTGCCAGTTGCCTTTGCAATTATAATTAAATTTAACACCTCGTAGCTCAACTTATCAGAATATTCAGATGTTAAATTCATGATCAATAAATGATTCAAGAGGACGTCAACCTCTACAATAATTCAGTCAGTCCTCCTGTTAGTATTGTTGTATGTCACTGTGTAAATTATTTATATAGATATATATATATGCCTAATAAACGGCCCAGTGATGTTATGGGAGGCCGAGATATGGGCACATGCAAATGTGATCGTATCAGTATGTAAGTAAACTGATTTTTACTGTTCCTTATTTATTGAACAACCTATATAACATATTTATATAGAAACTCGACATAATGTTTAAAATTTAAAAGGAAAAATTACAAAAAATTATTTTAAGTAAAAAATCTAATATTATAATGTTTTTTATTTAGAGAAAAATCGTATAACAATCAAGAGCAACAAAAAAAAAAAATGTATGTATTTTTTTAACAAGCTGTTTCGGCCTATACGATAAATGTTGTTATTATTGTGTTTTCTTATCGGTTTTCGGCGGCTATACAGTCGTCAGGATTTATAATAATCTAGTCTACCTTTGTACAGCACACAGTTCACGTACACATAATATGCGCATATCCATTTTTTTGTACTTAACCTCTGATTTTAATTGTATTTAAGATTTTTTTAGCCGTAAGAGATCACGCCCGAACATATGGTCCTTCGCCGTAACGTCTAGTGTATATCGGAAACATGAAAGTGAGAAATTTTGCGTAACGAAAGTGCGTTATTAGAATACGTGAGTTAAGCGTTGTATGTGCGTGTTCGTAAATAATTCTAACAAACCGAGTTAGAAAAGGGTTAATTTCTACCCGACGTAGTGTGTAGCAGCAGCGATTGCTATACGTGGAATAACATAATATTATTATATATTATTTAGGTATTTTAATTTAAAATTCGTATAAGTGCGTTAGATATCGTCATAAGTTATGTGAAAAAAATATAGTTAAGTGTAAAAAACCCGTGCCCAATATTTATAAAGCCTTAATCCACTGACTGCTACGTTGAAAACCACGTGGTCCCGATAGTAATTTACAGTTTAGATCGATATCTTGTTGATCCGGCTAATGTTATTCCATGCATGAATTGTTATTGACCTAACTTTTTCAATAGTAATTATCCGGAATTATTCGTATTACAATTAGCCACAACATAACCGATACTACCATATTAATGTACGTAAGATGAAAAAAAATATATAGTATTCAGTATGTAAGTAAATTGATTTTTATTGTTCTCATGATTTATAACAATTAGCCTGTTTCCTTACTCACTGAACAAGCAGTATAACACTTATATATAAACTCTACATGATGTTTAAAATTTAAAAGGAAAAATTACAACAAATTATTTTAAGTAACATAACTAATATTATACTATGTTTCTGTATTTTTTATTTAGACAAAAATCGTATAACGATCAAGAGAAAAATAAAATGTATATATTTTTTTTAAAAAGCCTTATTTATTTTAATAATGTCAATGAAATATAAACTTTATTTTTTGTATTTTTAAGGCGAACAATACGTTTCAGCTATTAATAACATTTTTGAAATAAAATAAACTTAATGAACTTCAAATAAACACTAAATTTGTAGAATCGTAATGAATTTGAAAGTATAGACTATAAATAGTTTTAATAAAAATAACATCACAATAATTGTAAAATGGAATTTTAAAATGGGCATCTTAAAATTCAATATAGTATAAGTAATAATAATTTTTAATAAAATAATTTCAATAAAAAAAAGTTTATATTTAAAGCTGTGCGACGCGAAATACTCGGACGACCAATCGCCGAGTGAAATCACGTCTAAAGGTTCCTTAAAATAAAATTAAAAGAATAACGTTTTTAATGGACTGTAATTTATTTACCGAAATTAAATATGTACTCTCTAATACAGTAACAAAATTGGTTTATCTTAAATCTATTGTTAGTACTTATATTTAAAAACTAATATACTAAAATACAACAACATAAATTTTTAGTAATTAATATTTTGACAAACAGAAAATGTATAGTCTGACCTTGCTTTCTGTACCCAAAAGAAGANCATCTGCGACTAGCGCGTCGATCGTCTCAAATTCGTTTACGCGATCTATATCAACAAGAGCATTCAATATGGCTCCCTGTTGTTCCTCGAACTCATTAATATATTTTTCGATTGTGTCTGCCCGTGAACAAAATGACGGTTGTTTCGACACGTCTGTACGCGCTTCGAGGGATAACGCAAACACGTTACGTACCGTGCGTACTGCACTGTCACGAGCGGCTCGCGCACGCACTAACACCCGAGATAGCTCCGGTACTACCTTTATGTTTTTACTGCGCGGCATCTTCAATTATTCGTTTTGTGTGCAGAAACAAGATAAAAATAGGATTTAAGCAGCAAAATAGGCACTTACAATAAAAAAAACCCTATAAGCTAAGCAATTAAAACAAATTCTAAAAATTACATTAAAGATTAAAATAATAAATTTATAAAAAATCCGTCCCGAATGGACCAAAATGTGCGACGCGAAATACTCGGACGACCAATCGCCGAGTGAAATCACGTCTAAAGGTTCCTTAAAATAAAATTAAAAGAATAACGTTTTTAATGGACTGTAATTTATTTACCGAAATTAAATATGTACTCTCTAATACAGTAACAAAATTGGTTTATCTTAAATCTATTGTTAGTACTTACATTTAAAAACTAATATACTAAAATACAACAACATAAATTTTTAGTAATTAATATTTTGACAAACAGAAAATGTATAGTCTGACCTTGCTTTCTGTACCCAAAAGAAGATAGTGAATGTGTCAAGTAAAGCAGTTGAGCCCGACGCAATCAACAGAGTGAATTGAACACATAAAACCGTCAAAGAAAACAAAACCAACAAAATAACGCACTAGAGTCCGTGATACACAAAACCACTCTATGCATGCCGATACGCGAATGACCCTTCGCGACCACCGCCACACACTACCCTAACAAGTAAACCAGTTGTGACAGGTCGCGCTCTTGTTGAAGAGAATAAAAAACCGGCGCTCACCCACCAAACTGTTTCGTCACGACCGAACAAAAGCAAATAAATGAATAGTTCATTATTTCAGAAGTTTAGAGAAAACAAATGTCATTCCCTGTATAAATTATTTTTGGAAATATTTAAAACAATAAATGATGTTAGAATAACAGTATACATATAAATCATTAAAATCTTTTTACATTATATTTTTATTTTAAAACATTTGCATAGTACATTATTTTGTTTTAAGACATATTTTAATGTTTTTTAGGACATCTAAATCCGAACCCTAATTATAATATTATCATTAAGGTATAATATAGTCCATGTGTAAAAATAATCTAAATATTATTTATAATTATAAAAATTGCGTACAATTTATATAAACAATATATAATTTTTCAAATATATAGGATAATAGTGTAGATCGTAGTAATAATCATTATTGATATAATCTTCAGGATAATTTTCATAACTCATATATTTGTTTATTTTTTCATCATCATCAAATGTAATGTTTTTATCGTAATCAACAATTTGAGTGACATATTCATCATTGAATTTATATAATAATGTATAAATATCTTTAGTTTGACATAACACATCTAAAAGCAAAATATGATGGTATTTTTATTTTTATATGATACATTTTAAAAGAGATTAAAAGACATACTTAAAATGATAATGATATTTACAAGATTATAATAATTATAATTAAGATAATTTCGAAAAATAATAAGTGAAGAAAAATGTTAGTTCTAAATAATAATAATACTTCAATTATTTTTTAACTATTATATTTAATTTTCGTATATGTAAAACTCATAATAAAATTAAATTTACATTAAAACTTACTCATTGTATATTTATTGAAAACATTAGTCAATTGTAAATTTAACTTGTGATTAATATTCAAAGTTTTTTTGGTTACTTCAAATAATTTTTTGTGTTCTTCTAAGTTTCTCAAAAATGTTTCCGTATGTTTCATGTTTACAGTCAATTCATTAAAGCAAGTATTGATAATATCCTTTGTAGAATACTCATATATATTATCAAAATTAAATTTGTTATCATAAAAAAATGATTTTAATGAATGCATCAGTTTTATGGATGATAACTTGACACTTGTGTTATTTTTATTAATGAAATATTTAAGACATTGAGAAGTTATTTCTGATAATTTAAGAAATACTCTAGATGGGCCATCACCAAAGAGATCCAAATTAACAAAATCTTGAAAAATTTCAATTATTCTATTACCAACGAAAATAATATTATGATACAATATTAAACTTTCTTTTTCGTCACTATAAAAATTGTAAACGTCTATTGAGGACCTAAGAATATTGATAAGAAGTCTAACGAGTAAAGCAATAGGACGAAATGTTGCAGTCATTAGAAGTACATGAAATACTTGTATATCTTTCGTGTAAAAACTATACTTGATATATCTAAATATATCAAAAAGGGTCAAGTGTCTTTCGTCGGGACAAATTATAGCGAGTGGTGCAAATCGAATAAAATCTAAAACATTTTGAATTCTTCCGTTTATTAACTGTGGATATTGTTTATCCTGAGAATTTCTTATAAGATCTTTTTCAGAAATTTCGCGATTATTCATCATAAAGTTATAAAATAGTAAATTTTTTGGTAAAAATTCCCAGTATTCACACCTTTTAATAGCTTTTTTAAAATAAAAATATACTCTACTAAATGTTAAATTTTTAATATATTCATCGGTGTCGTTTTGATGTTTATCACTTTGTAACAATCGGTTTCTAAGTTTATTTGAAACAATTTGAAAATTTCCGAGAGTATATTCGCCTGATTCGTTGTAATCGGGAATATAAATAAATACTTCGTCAAATATGGCACATTGACAATGTTTGGCTATTATAATGTATAAATGATCTGACAATAACTTATGATGCATTTTGTAACCTTTAATAATACTTGAAGTTTTATCTGACAAATCAAATATTCCGTCATCGTTTTTAGCATAGAATTCAACATTCCCAGAGACATTATTTAAATATAAATTGACTGATATCAATTCTTTCGGGTAAAATTTTTTATCAGCTTCCCTTAAAACATCTAACATTATTAATACGATTTCGCCATGAGTTTTTATTGCATTGCCATATTTGCTTAAACTATCCACGTCATATTTTTCTTTGTTTTCAATCAATTCAATTAAATAGCGATTATTATGATTAAAATAATTTAACATATATTTCAAAAAATTACACTTTAAATCATTATAGGATATCCCAAGTATTAAATGAATGGTCAATAATAATATAATTTTTTTCAGAATCATTTTTTGAAGTATTAAAAATTAAATTAAGAAACAAAAACTGCATAAAAAATTTTTCTTTACTTTTACAAGCTGGTATATATCTTTTGTAATCGTTTTTTTTACTTTCATTATTTATCACGTTTGCAATTATGTTTTATTAATGGCATTATTTGTTTAAGTTCTACGCATAAAAATAATATTTGACAATTTTAAGTATTTATTATTGTTTTAATAAATTACTATTCTTTTATACATATTTCGAGTAATTTAGCATATATTTTATCACTTAGTATTTTAATATTTTATATGATTTACTAATTAAATTGAAACTCAGAATATAATCATGATATGTACTATTTATTACATAACATATGAATTATGTATTAACACAAGAATATAGTGTTGATGCCAAGGCGTAATATCAGAACGTTATTTAAAAAAGTATAATCAACAAATTATTCATAATCAACAATTTCAACTTATTATTTATAATACGATTTTAATATTTGTTCATATTTAAAAATAGTTATGACAGTTTTGTCGTAATATGGACAATGCTCTGTAGTACGCATCATGCATTTATCAATATTTCATAGTTAATTAATATAATTAATATTTAATTAATAATATAATTATATTTAATATATTTTAATATATTTTAATATATCAATATTTTATACCAATTGTATACAAACAAATAATTAATTTATCTGTCATAACATATACACATTTGTACACTAGCTATTATATATGTATATACATGTTAAATTGATTATTGTATACTATACAACTTATCTTAAAATAACTATCATATTATGTTCAAATTTTATACAATAAACTGAAAATCACTAAAAGCGCTGACGGCAACAATCCATGATGGGGGTAATTATAAATAATATAAAAAGGCGCTGATTTTCTAAGAGACTCTCAATTTTCTCTTCTTTTGAAGATCTGAATTCAATAAGGAATTCAGTATTCTCCTAATTGATTTATTTTGAACAAACTAGGTTCTACCCCGTGTCGGTACATTTTAAGCGATATTGAATACTATTATTTTGCGTTAACACTTTATTTATTTAAAAGAGACAGTATAAAACTTTACGCAAACCTTGACGATCTTCGTACAAGCTAAATAAAAGAACTAAGTAAATTTATATTAACCCAATTATTTAGAATTAATAATCTGAGTAAAGAATGATAAAGCAATAGATCACTTATTTCTATTCAAACTTTATTAATTGTTACTGACTAGTTCATACCTTATACATAATCACGTTACATGGTATTCGTAAGATGGCCATCGCCTCTTTGTTGCCTCAGTGTATTATTTCAGGTACTTACCAGTTAGGTCATTTGTAATATCTCTATAGAGAAACTTTAATAATTTCTTTTTATATCTACTTGTCTTTATTGTTCTAAATCCTCGGACTCTACAACCCCGATAGAACCTCGTTGCTCCTGAATTGACCAAATCCTCAAATATCTAACCTTGGTCAAATAAATCCCCTAACACCTCAGTTTTTGCTAATTTTTTGTATTACTACAATATACTGAAATAAAAAGTAAATTGAATTGAGTATTGAATTTTCAAATTGAGAATAAAAGTCACTATTAAATAAGTGAATTAAAATTATTCGAGTAAAATATATATATATTTCAATTATATAGTGAAATTAAATCAGAGGAAAATACCTGAGTTTAAAGGAAAACAAAAAGTGAATTTAAATAAAATTATATTTCAAAAACCCAGCACAGTGGGGTAGGGTCGTAGTAGGGATGTTGCATTGTTAGGTCCAGTATAGATTTAATCTGACAGTGATTAAAATCACTCTCATTAGAAACGCTTCGATGAAAATCTGTAGATAGTGTTTAATTCTAAAAAATTGATGGACAAAAGCAACATCAACTTCTATTTCCTTAATTTTACCCAGATTAGTATTTTTTTTAATTATATATTATATAATTTTTTAAATTAATTGTTTTCAAATTATTATTGATTTTGATTTTTAATATGTTAAAAGAAATCATTTTGAACCTTCTTTTTTTGTCTTTCAAAGTGAAAGTCTAAATAGAACAAAAATGAATTTATTACCATAACTTTTAGCTCAACTTTGCAAGTTTGAAATTTACATTATTAAATAGAAAAAAATGAAATTAAGATTGATATCAGATTAATGATTAAGATTAATGCAATCAGGAAATTTTATAATTACTATTTACAGCACAATTATCAGAAAAGTTAAAGGACGCAGTATTTCTGGAACATTTTCAAAAATTAAGTTGAAAAAGTGAGTTTTTGTAAAAAGTTGCTATTTGAAATCCCGCCTATGAGCAAATTAAGTGTTATATTTTCAAAAAAAAAGATATCAAATGAAAGGAAATTACCAAAGGTTTCTATATAAAAAAATATTATTTTTATTTGTTAATATTTGAAAAAGTTATGGCAGTTTTAAGAATAAAAAACATCCCGATAGAAGGTGATTTTTATAGCAAACATTACATTTTTTTTTTAAATTCGACAGCCATTAGCACATAGAAGATAGTTCGTCGGGACAAATTTTTTTTTTCATTTTTTAGTATATGACATAACCTTTAATTTTATATATATTTAAAGGACGCAGTATTTCCGGATCATTTTCAAAAATTAAGTTGAAAAAGTTCTATTTTTTATACAATGTTTCAAGTTTTGAACGCCCCTTATATATGGGGAAAATGTCCAATTTTAATAAAAAGTATGTCAAATGAAAGATGTACTTATAATGTATGTATAAAAAAAATTTGTGCTGATAATTACATTTTTAGAAAAGTTATAGAAGAATTTGAACCTATTTCTTAGAATGATATGTTACGTATATTATTAGAAAAAAGAAAACAGTTAGATGATGAACAAACGGTTGCTTATATTAATGATATGGAAGCTTTATGTAAGATAATTGATAGTAATATGTTGGAGACTGAATTAGTAAGAAATGTAATGAAAGGTCTTAGACCAAGTATTCCTAGATATGTTAGTATTCTTGATAATTGCAATTTAGAAGAGTTAAAAAGAAATATTTGTAACTATGAAAAAGTTGAATTTATGATCACTGGAGAAACAATTAAAGCCCATCTGAAATAAAACAGTCTATAATAAATGAAAAAATTAATCAAATAAATCAAAATAATGAAAATAATGATATTAAAAAATTAACTGAGGAATTTCAATGTTTAAAACAAAATCAAGAACAATTTTATAATGAATTTATTAACTTCAATCAATAATCAACATCAAAACAATTCGCAATTTAATAATTTGTCAGCAATGAATAATAGATCGCAAAAAAATAATATATTTAACAACTATTTTCAACCAAACAAATTTCAAAATAATTTTAGAGCTAATTATAGTTCACAAAATAATATCAATCAATTTCATAATAATGTTTTTTCTTATAAAAATAATCCTAATAATCAAAATTATCAAGGGCGTTTTAACAACAATAATTTGTCGTCTAATCAAAACCGCTATCCAATTAATACACAAAACAGAAATACTTTCAAGCAAAATTGGCAAAATCAAAATTATTATAAACCTCAAAGAAACAATTATAATGAAAATAGTAATAATTTTCAATCTAATTTAAATAAACAAAATCAATATTCAAGAAATCTTAATTGTAATATATGTCATAGAAATTCTCATGACACGTCAAATTGTTTTTTCAAAAACAATCAAACAATTTGCCAAATTTGTAATTTAGTTGGACATACAGCCTTAAGCTGTATAGAACTTCCAAAAAACTAAGTACTAGGTTAAGCGATGGTGCTGAACGACACAGTTTACCTTTTAAAGCACCACACAAAATTATCAATAACATAACACACACTAAACACATGTCTATCGCTTTAAATTTTTATGCTTTATTTAATGATATTAAAATACCTATCACGATTGACACAGGATCAAATATATGTTGCATAACACATACTTTGATACCTCACAGTCAGATCAAATTGCAATATAACCTAAAAATAAGTGGCCCTGACAATAGACCATTAAATATTTTAGGAACAACGAATATTGTCTTAAAAATTGAATCAATAAATTATCATATTAAAGCATTTGTTGTGGAAGACTTATCCTGTTTAATTATCCTCTTGGTAATGATTTTTTGGAACAACAAAATAGTATCATAGACTTTGATAAGGAAGTAATAAAATTTAATGAAGACACTCTTATACCTGTATTTATTGATAATAATTTCAATTGTAATCAATTAACTTATAACTTTTCTGAAAAAGTAATGGAATTGTTTATAGTATACGATTATTATTCAATCGCACATTGTATTTGAGCTGACCTTAAAATGAATAAGGGCATATAATTAGATATAAGTAATAAATATGGTACTATGGCTCCCAACTTATACAAATTAAATCCAAAAATAGGTGATGCTATCCCAGTTTGTGCTAATGGTAGAGTAATTTATTTCTTAATTACAAAAAATTATTATTTTGAAAAGCTAGAATACATAAATATTGAAAA